CCACTCCTGTCTTGTGGCTGTCATTCTTCTAGACAGGCTAGAAGAACGGCGTTCACAGGGACACTGAACTGGGGGGTCAGTGTGTCCTTGGGCTAGTCACTTCACCTCCTTAGCATTTTTAGAGTGAGAGGGGGAAAAAAGAGCATTGAACCTAATCTCACGGTTCTTCAATCTTCCAACTTTAGTTTAATCCAAAAGGACAGAGACTAGTCTTGTGCAAGAGACTGTGTTCTCCAAGCTTCACATCCACCCTCTTAGACCCCCACCCCCAACATACTTTTACTTTCCCTGGGTTGTTCCAGGTCTCTGTTCCTCATTCTGGCAAGTCCATCCCTCCTCGATCCCCTCTCCATGGAAATTCCTGTCCACTCTGTAAAGTGTTAAATAAAAATTATAGGAGGCCATTGGTTTGGACTAAGCCCCTAGGACCCAACAGATCAGACTCAAAATCAAAACGGAGTCACTTGAGGTTCCAGTCGCCAAGCTGAAACCAAACTGTTTATCTACCCTTAGAAATCAGGAGAATGAGAGATAGTTACATTTCCCCAACAGGCTAGTTTCAACCAGTGTGATAATATAGTCCCTGTGTTTTAATCCTTATTTAAAGAAAATAACCTGAAGTCAACTGCTGTAAACTAATCAGTTATTTCCCTATTGTTCTGTCTCGCTTACAAAAGAAAGTCATTTTTAAAAAGGAATTCTTTATTTAATTTTATCTATTCATTCATTTATTTTCACTTGACAGAGAGAAGGAAAGTGAGAAAGCAAGCCACCAGGTCCAGGACTTGAACCGTGGTCGGCCATGTGGGAATGTCCAGCACCTTAACCACCATGCCACCTGCTGACCAAAAAAACTAATTTCGAAATGGCTAATTGGTTTTGTTTCTGCTTTCTTGGTCAACAAAACCAACCTTTCTCTGTCAACACAACCAACCTCTTCTGCCCAACTCGTTGGAACATTTATTATATTTTATGCAATAAAATCTTGTTTGATTCTAAAATCTTGACTGTAGTAAAGCCAGGAAGGTCTTAAAACGAAATTGTTATGTTGTCTTTTGACAGGTGACACTTGCTGATCTTTTCAACCCAGTCAAATGGGCAAATGTGGGTCTGCTGCTGGTCAATGTGCATTTATTTTTAACTTCAGTCTTCACCCTGTTATAACCCTGTCAGTCATTTTAATGTTAGGAATTTCAGACGCTCTGACCTTCGAGAATTTGGGGACATTTTGGAAGTCACTGAAATCACAGCTGCTTTTGAATTTACTCGTTAATATAATCACACAACAAATGTTTCTGTGACCATTTACTTCTGAAGTTTCCAAGTGTATGAGTATGTCCAACTAGACCTATTACTGGAAAAATGCCATATCTTAGGGCCCTCCATTCTCCATTTCTGCTGTGGCTGCTTAGGATAATGATCTGTTTTTCCATCATCAACCCAGCTGGCCTTTGTTAAGATCGAGGATTCCAGGAACTGGGGCTGGGGGTGGAACAGGGGCCAGAGCACCATAGTCCCAGACCAGGCGTGGCCCCTTTGAATTCCTTTTTTGTTTGTTTGTCTGTTTGTTTAATTGCCAGAGGGCAGATATCTGCTTACCAGAGAAAGAGAGGCAGAGGGCAAAAGCAACCCCCAAATGGTGCGTGGTCATGCTGCAATTCCTCCATTTCTCTGTCCTGTCAGAATTTGGGGCACGCACACACATGTACCTGGTGTGTTTGTTTTTCAAGCTGCAGGGGCCAGAACTCAATTATGTTCAGGTTCCATGTGGAATCCAGATCAACCACTAGGTTATGGAACCAGCCCTTTAATTCCTTTTCATTTATTTATTTATCGAGAGGTTTTTGGTACAGGGCATGTGTGTTTGTTGCAGAAAACTAGGAACAAAAAACAGCACTCCAAGAGATTAGAACTGTTTATTATGTCAGTGGGTATGCAGGACTTAACACCCTGAATCTCCAGCCCCCAGTGGAGGTTGGATATGGTCTCTTATGGGGGAATTGGGGAAGGGGAGGTCTCTGGCTCAGAACCTGCCCTTTGTAGCATCAAAGGGAGGAGGCAGAGACTGTAGGAAGACTAATTTATTCAAGGTACTAATCTATTCAAGGCACTAAACTAGTCAAGGTACTAATCTATTCAAGGTTTTCAGGTTACCCTGTAGCTCCAGGGAGGGGCACTAAGTTTGCTGGAGGGCAGAAACTTCAGGAAGCTATCAGCCCTGAGTTAGTCATAAATTCAGTGTGCTCATCAGAGAGACAGAAAGCAAGAAATCAACCCCAGGGGCAGTGGCCACACCACAATCCCTTCTCCTCCATTCTCCTCTTGGGATTTTAGGCACACACACACACACACACACACACGTAGTATGAGTTTCAAGCCATTGGGTCTAGGACTCAAACCATGGTTAACCGTGTGGAAGTCTAGCAACCCAACCACTATACTACCTGCTGGCCCCTATTTATTTTTGTCTATTGTTGTCATTATTATTTTAATTTGCTCTAGGACACACTCACTCACTAGAGAGAGAGAGAGAGAGAGAGAGAGAGAGAACGTGAGAAATTGAACTGCAGTTGGCCATTTAGGAGTCCAGTGCCTTTAACCACCACGCCACCTGCTGGCCCTTCGAATTCCTTTTTAAAGCCCCCCCCTCCCCCCGACTGCTTCAGGTTAAAGTTTTCAGTGCCTGGGTGACCATGCTTCTTTCCCACATGTGTTTGTTACCCCACAGTAAAACCCTGGGCAGTGCTTTATGGAAGTTGTCTTATTTTGTACAGTAGTCTCATTGACCCTACCCTCGAACACCAAGTCAGCACAGACTTCAAATATTTAGTTCCCTCGTCCCCAGAAGAATATTCAGACACGTCATTCTACCTGTCCTTAGTTTTAATTCCAGAAATACGGGGCTAGCATAGTTGAAGAGGTTCAAAAGATGTCTCCGACCCTATTCGCAAAATCAAACCGTTTACCAGCACATGGCCCTTATGTGGACACTTCTTAGAGCCACTGACCACCATCCTGCACGAGTCCCACCAGCTGACAGACTTGCCGGGCTGGGCGTGAGCTCCCACTGGCAGGGGGACGCCCATCATGTCCAAGAGCCTGTGCAGTGCTTAGCAACTGCGGGCTCAAAGATGCTTGGCCGAAGGCTGGCAGGTAGTGTGATGGTTAAGGACACTGACATCCCACATGGCTGACTGGTTCCAGTCCCAGGCCTGGTAGCTTGCTTTCTCACCTTCTCTTCATTCTGTCCCTCTCTGATCAAATAAATAAATAAATAAATAACGTTAAATAAAATAATTTTTTTTTTTTGGAGAGGTTTTTGCTATAGGGTGCGTGCGCTCGCCAGAAAGACAGAGACAGAGAGACAGAAAGCAAGAAATCACCCCGCAGCAGGGATGGCCACACTGCAATCCCTTCTCCTCCATTCTCCTCTCAGGATCTTGGGCATACACGCACACGTGCCCGGCATGAGTTTAAGCTACCGAGTTCGGGACTCGAACCATAGTCGACTACATGGGAGTCCAGTGACATAGCCATTACACCAACTGCTGGTCCCTAAAATAATTCTTTAAAAAAAAAAAGTGCTCATCTGGGCTGATGAGTGGCCTGGTAATTAGGGTACTGGACTCCCACACAGCTGACCGCAGTTAGAGTCCTGGACCTGGTGGCTTGCTTTCCTATATTCCTTCTCTCTCTGATGAGCATGAATGCCCTATAGTAAGTTGAAATAAAAATTAAAAATTTTTGAGAGGTTTTTGCTATTGGGCCCATGTGCTCTCCAGAAAGACAGAGAGACAGAAAGGGAGAAATCACCCCCCAAGGGGGATGGCCACACCACAATCTCTTCTCCTCCATTTTCTCAGGATCTTGGGCACGCATGCACAGGCACCTGGCGTGAGTTTAAGACACCAGGTCTGGGACTCAAATCGTGTTCAGTCACATGGAAGTCCAGTGACATAGCCATTATGCCTTGCCGGGCGGGGCGTGAGCTCCCACTGGCAGGGGGACGCCCATCATGTCCAAGAGCCTGTGCAGTGCTTAGCAACTGCGGGCTCAAAGATGCTTGGCCGAAGGCTGGCAGGTAGTGTGATGGTTAAGGACACTGACATCCCACATGGCTGACTGGTTCCAGTCCCAGGCCTGGTAGCTTGCTTTCTCACCTTCTCTTCATTCTGTCCCTCTCTGATCAAATAAATAAATAAATAAATAACGTTAAATAAAATAATTTTTTTTTTTTGGAGAGGTTTTTGCTATAGGGTGCGTGCGCTCGCCAGAAAGACAGAGACAGAGAGACAGAAAGCAAGAAATCACCCCGCAGCAGGGATGGCCACACTGCAATCCCTTCTCCTCCATTCTCCTCTCAGGATCTTGGGCATACACGCACACGTGCCCGGCATGAGTTTAAGCTACCGAGTTCGGGACTCGAACCATAGGCGACTACATGGGAGCCCAGTGACATAGCCATTACACCAACTGCTGGTCCCTAAAATAATTCTTTAAAAAAAAAAAGTGCTCATCTGGGCTGATGAGTGGCCTGGTAATTAGGGTACTGGACTCCCACACAGCTGACCGCAGTTAGAGTCCTGGACCTGGTGGCTTGCTTTCCTATATTCCTTCTCTCTCTGATGAGCATGAATGCCCTATAGTAAGTTGAAATAAAAATTAAAAATTTTTGAGAGGTTTTTGCTATTGGGCCCATGTGCTCTCCAGAAAGACAGAGAGACAGAAAGGGAGAAATCACCCCCCAAGGGGGATGGCCACACCACAATCTCTTCTCCTCCATTTTCTCAGGATCTTGGGCACGCATGCACAGGCACCTGGCGTGAGTTTAAGACACCAGGTCTGGGACTCAAATCGTGTTCAGCCACATGGAAGTCCAGTGACATAGCCATTATGCCAACTGCTGGTCCTAATAAAATAATTTTTTTCAATAATAATTTATTTTATTTTATTTATTCATTCATTTATTTCTTAATTTGACCATAGAGAGACAGAGGGTGAGGGTGAGAGTGAGAGAGAGAGGAAGTGAGAAAGCAAGCCACCAGATTCAGGACTCGAACCCTGGTCAGCCATGTGGGAGTGTCCAGCACCTTAACCACCACGCCACCTGCTGGTCCCCCCAATAAAATAAAATTTTTAAAAGAAAAGATGCTTGTCCAGCTGCAGCCTCATCAAAGGCAGCAAGTAGGGTATTGGTTTAGGAAACAGATAAAATCAGCCACAATGAGAGGCCAGGGGAAGGGAGAAAGGAGACTTACCCCTTTGCTGAGACCAGCTGCTTTACATACATTACCTTTGTATTGATTTGTTTTAATCTTGCCAGGGGCACATGAGCTAGCTGGAGAGAGGCAGAAAGCTCCTCCCTAGAGGATGATCAGGCGCCATCCCTTCTCTAGCTCTCTCTCCTCTGAGGATTTCAGGCACACCCGCATACACACCCCGTGTGTTTCTCAAGCCACTGGATCTGTAAAGTTTAACCTAACAACCTTATGAAGGGAGCATTACCACTGCCGTTTGACTAGTCAGATTAACTCGCCCACGGTCATCAAGCTGGTGACAGAGGCCGGATATTGAGCCCAGGCCCAGACACTTCACAGCCATGTTCAACTGCCTCCGTGTTTCAAAGTATTGGAACACCAAGGAGGTGGTGCTTGAAGGAAGCCTATTACAAAGTCACTGAGTTAACATACATGCATTATTTCCATGAATTCAGACAAGTGGCAACTGCAGTGAAAAGGGAAATGCATCCTGCTGACCAAACAGTTTCTTTCCTCTCCTGAGCGAGAATATCCTAGCCCTTGCCTGGCACTGCCCTCCCAGCTACCCCCTACCCTGCCCTGACACCCAGAGGCCAACCAGACTCTCGGTTACTGGGAAACACTGATGTCAGCACACCGGCAGCGTCAGCACCAGCCCAGGAGGCCAGGGGCCCAGATCACTTATCTCTCCATGGCCGAACTGCTGACTTCTCATTTCCTGCCGGCTCTGGCTCTGTTTGCACACCTCCCAGCTTCCTCCAGCCCAGTCCACCCACTCCTGACACAGACTCTCTCCTCACGTGGTTTACCGAAGGCAAAGGCGGTTCTCTGAGTCACACAGCATCCCTTCCCCAGCCCTCAGCCCCAGCCCACAGCCCTCTTGCCCTCAAACCAACAAGGTATTCTCAGGTGACCTTGGGCAGCTCAGCCTCTCAGCCTTGACTTGCTTGCTTATAAAGTACGGATACAAAATCTGTCCGCCTTGCCTTTTTTCCTATTTAATTCACAGGGAAATAAGTGGTCTGCGTGGAACATGTGTTTCACTGATTGAAAGCATAATTTATCGGAAAGGCACAACCTACTGCCATTATTTCCACGTAGAATTTTTCCTTATTGAAACAAGACTCTTGCCCTAGTCCTTCCAGCCTGCCTGCTCTCCCTGTAGCTGCCCTGCAAGCCCCTATTCCGGCCATGTTTCCTCTTCCTCCTTCTCCATGCCGAGCACTGTCCTGTGGAAGGCTGCCCTCTGCTGTCCGCCTGATTCCCTGCACAGCAGCCACCCAAGTGGGACACTTTGTACTATTATTGCCACCTGGTGGTCAAAAGAGGCACCGCTGCCAAACTGAGGTCGCTCAGCTTTGGTACCTATTTGAAATGAAGAGGAGAAATCTCCCCATCCAGTTCCGGAGATCTATCTCTGGGATGCTCGCAGATTCTCCCCTATGCCAGATCAGGGCTTTAAGAGAAAGCTTATCTGTCCATACCTCCAGCTGTGCACAGAAAGCACCTGAGGTGCGTGTGGGAGTCGGGAGCATGGGAAGGAAGATGCTATAGCTAGAGGGGTGCCTGACCTGACTTGCAGGCATGTAACATCTGCTTTTCTTTCTTTCTTTTTAATTTCAGTGCTCAGTACCACACATATACCCTCTGTGTTTGCAACACTGAGGCCTACTCAGTGACCTGGCCCTTGACGTGCCTGACATACTCTTTCTTTTCTTTTCTTTTCTTTTTTTTTTTGAGAGGTTTTTGCTATACGGCGCGTACGCCTGCCAGAAAGACAGAGAAAGACAGAGAGAAGGAAGTGAGAAATCACTCCCCAGGGGGCCACAATCCCTTCTCCTCCATTCTCCTCTTGGGATCTTGGGCACGCACGCACTCGCGCCTGGTGTGAGTTTAAGCCGCCGGGTCCGGGACTCGAACCGCGGTTAACTACGTGGGAGTCCAGCGACATAGCCATTATGCTAACTGCTGGTCCCTGACATACGCTTTCTGGCCTCCACGGAGCTCCCATATCATTTGCTGGCGTTAAAGAAGCCAGTCTCACATTTCTATATGTCATTTTCTTTGCACTGGACCTACCACTCCTTTTGTAAATGACACTGAATAGGTAAAGCAGTGCTAGAGCAGGTGCCTCTGGCAGGAAGGAGTGGGGGGGTTCCCAAAGGAAAGAGGAAAGAGTAGGGGGGGCGGGGCCCAACATGAAACCAGAAGTGCAGAGCGGGAGCCATGAGCTTCTCCTGGAGACCCTGAAACAGAGCCCCAGGAAGAGGTGATGACAAAAGAGAAGGGCTTCTCAAGCCTCACAAGAGGAAGTAGACCTAAGAGAGACACTGGAGGTCAGAGAACGGCCATGCAAAAGGAAAGACAGCAAACTAAGCTGCTGCGAGCTCCTGAGCCCTGCAGTGCAGCACACAGGAAACGGGAGGCAGAGCCTCAGGCCCAGAGTTGGGGCAAAGTATCAGCCTGAGCCTCCTGCAGTGCAGGGCAACTGGAGAGACACGCACTAGAGCCACCAGAAGAGTATGGCTGCTGGGCCCAAAGCAGCAGCCTGCCTGGGCCTGGGTTGCAGGCCCAAGTCCTGACCAGGGCCCACACCTGGCTGTCAGAGACTGCGCCAGACTGCCAGAGGTAGCCAGGGCTGGAAATGCGTTAGTGCCCGACTGCTGCACAGACCCTGGGCAAAAACCCAGCAAAGGAGCACAGTCAGGACTACCCCCGACCCGGGCCTCCAGAACCTCTCACTACCTCCTAACCCCTCAGACAACACCCCTGCACCAGGGGGATGAGAGGTGGGGCTACAAAAGGAACTGACTGCCCCCAGGGGTAGGTGGAGCCCAGCACTGTGGGGGACAGAGGAAGGTCTGGGAAGGGAGGAGCTCAGACCAAGCTGGGGGTCGGCACTAGAAGAGGGCTTCCTCTGTTCACTGTGACTGGGCACCTCGTTCTACACAGAACTTTTTGGAAGTCGGAGGGAGGCGGACACTCAGAGTGAGGCACTGCCCTCAGTGAGGATTTGGAATCCCTTGGCCTCAACAGAGAGGGAGAGGCCTTCACAGAAGCATCAGCTCCTGGGCATCTCCAGACGCCTGGCTTGGACCTGATCAAAGAGTGCCCCAACTGCTAAATAGGGCAGGGGCCCCCTTTTCTAAGGCCTGCACCTTTCCCTTCGGGTGAGCCCTGCCCCTCCCTGAGTCACCCCAAGGAGAGAGAGGGGGAAAAAAGGGAAGAGAAGAGAGGCATTGACTGCAGAGGAAGGAAAAGGAAGCAGAGCGGAGGAGGGAGGAGAGAGGCCACGCAGGAGTGGGTAACAGGAGCGCAGAGAGGGCAGATCTAGGGCAGATCTAGGGCCGGGGGAGACCCAGAGGGCAGCTGAGCATCCTAACGGGTGCCCCAAGAGCAGGGCAGCGGGGGCGGGGAGCCCAGGGGGCGGGCCGGCCATGTCCCACGGGACCTACTACGAGTGCGAGCCCCGGGGCTGCCAGCAGCCACTCGAGTTCTCAGGGGGCCGTGCTGGGCCTGGGGAGCTGGGGGACATGTGTGACCACGAGGCCTCCATCGACCTCTCCGCCTACATCGAGTCTGGGGAGGAGCAGCTCCTCTCCGACCTCTTTGCCGTGAAGCCAGCGCCTGAGGCCCGCGGTCTTAAGGGCCCCGGAACCCCTGCCTTTCCCCACTACCTGCCTCCTGACCCTCGGCCCTTCGTCTACCCCCCACATACCTTCGGCCCAGACAGGAAGGCGTTGGGGCCTGGCGTCTACAGCAGCCCAGGGGGCTACGACCCCAGGGCTGTGGCCGTGAAGGAGGAGCCTCGGGGGCCAGAGGGCAGCCGGGGCACCGCCCGAGGCAGCTACAATCCCCTGCAGTACCAAGTGGCGCACTGTGGGCAGACGGCCATGCACCTGCCCCCGACGCTGGCCTCAACCAGCCAGCCCCTGCGCGTCCTCAAGGTAAGAGCAGGTCAGTTCTCCTCCCTTCCAGCCAGGGGCTGGAGAAAGGCCGGTGTGGATGGGAAGCTTTGCAACCTGCTTGTGCTGCTCTGCAAAACACCCACCCCAGATCCTCCGTGCTCACTACTGCACCACGGCCCTTTGCCTCTCTTTGGTTCACTGCCTCCTTGAGCCCTACCTGGTCCCCAAGCCCCTGTGGTGAGCTTAACCTGCCTTGATCTCATGGCTTCCACCAGTTTCTCTGCTGCCAATCTGACCCCTCTTTTTTTTTTTTTTTGGAGAGGTTTTTGCTATAG